CTTCCTTGGGCAACCTGTTCCAGGCAACCTGTTCCAGTTTGCCGTCAAGAAACCTGCTCTGCAGTCCACCCTGACCTGGTTGCCTTGATGGGAGCTGGATTCCTAGAGCTGACTTTGCTTCCAGCCCAAGAGCCTCTGAACTGTTCCCCAGGCTCAGAGGAGCTGCTTCAAGAGGTGTCTGCCTGGCCAAAGCAAGAGAGAACAAAATGCAAAGCACCGTCCAGGCAAAGCAGCCGGCATTTTCCTGCCTAGGAAAATTTTGCGCAGCAAAAGACCAATGTTGATGGTCAGGCTGCCTGTGAGGTGAGGCAAAGCATGACACGGAATGGAATGCCTCCTCCTCTCATCAGTATTTCCATGCTCTGCCTGGTTTCAGCCTCTGCCAGCTCAGCTCCTCACTCAGCAGAGCTGAAAGGTGTTCCAGCTGCGGCTTATGGGGCTGTGTAGCTCCTGACTTGCATTTGAACCCATCCAAAGGGAAAGGTTCCAGGCAGCAAATGGCAGCAGCAACCCTGATAGAAAAACAGCAGGACTCTTCTGTACCTGAGGCTCACAAGAGCTCGAGTTGTTGTTACTCTGCAAAGGTCTCGAACTTCCTGTTCTTTTGGCTTGACCAACATCCCTTTCCTTTTATCTTCTGCATGTTGCTTGCTCTGCCAAAGGTCTGTGATAGGGACTGTCTTGCTCAGCTCCTTCTGCAAGTCACTCGATGCCTTTTGAAAATCTTGGTTTTAATGTTTCTCAGATTGCAGCCTTGTCTGTGAAGTTAACTCTGATTTAAGATGTTGAAGTTCTCAGATGTCATGAGTTGCTTTAAAAAAAGGCTTATTCAAATGAAAAACAATTTCTAGTATACTTGTTCTAATGAAGTCAATGAGAAATCTGCTGTATGTGGCAAACTTCTGCACTGACAACTGCCTTATCTAAAAGGCAATGTACTTGAACATAGCTCAGATAAACTGGATTTGATAAACACCATCTCATTTATTTTTTTCCCAGATGTCAATTTTCAGGAAGTACGGGATGTTCATTTGCAGCTGAATTTGTAAAAGAGCTAAATTTAAAATTACAGCTTTTGAAATGAAGGTTGATCTTACATTTTTCTTGTGCAATTATGGTACTTCAAAGAACCCTTTGAATTGAGTACAGGCTACTGGGGTTGTCCTTCCTGCAAGGGTAAGGCCCATGTATTTATGGTACATATGTACAGAACACGCTCTGATAAGAGAGTGCCTGTTGGGAGCAAAACCCAAGTCTCTTGTATGCTATTATCACACCACAGCGAGTAGATTCCAATGTGTATGTGTGTGTTGGGATTGCTGCTTGATAAGCCTGCTGGCAACAAATCAGCTAGTTTAACTCTTAGTTTAGCCCAGCTCCCTTAGTTTAGCCCAGCTCCCTTAGTTTAGCCCAGCTCCCTTAGTTTAGCCCAGCTCCCTTAGTTTAGCCCAGCTCCCTTAGTTTAGCCCAGCTCCCTTAGTTTAGCCCAGCTCCCTTAGTTTAGCCCAGCTCCCTTAGTTTAGCCCAGCTCCCTTAGTTTAGCCCTTAGTCTGCCAGTGGAGACCCATGCCCGAGTTTATTTTTTTTTTTTTAAACACAAGTGAAAAAGGCACAATGACACAGGGTGACAGCTTAGATCAGTGCTAATTTGCACTGCAGATGGTGGGTGGTGTGTCATTATTTCACTGGCCAGCAGTCAAACCCCATATGTCAGCAGTCACACAAGGGAATATGCCCTTCTCATTGAACTCTTGTGACCAACACACCTGACCATAGGAAGAAAGGCACGTAGCAAAAGGATATTATAGACAGCACATCTGTGCTGTCGTTGGTTTTAACTCCTCTGGTGCTGGTGGATGTACTCCATACTCTTCCCAAGTTGTTGGCACAGATGTGAGCAGGGAAACAGTAAAAAAGCTGCTTGAGCAGTTACGAGAGTGAAGAGTGCTTCGTTTGTCTTGATTTCAGAGATACGTTGATGGAGGGATTTCTGACAACTTGCCACGATACGAGCTGAAGAACACAATCACGGTGTCTCCATTCTCAGGAGAGAGTGATATCTGTCCACGGGACAGTTCCACAAACATGCACGAGCTGAGGGTCACCAATACAAGCATCCAGTTCAACCTTCGCAACCTCTACCGCCTATCAAAGGCCCTGTTTCCTCCGGAGCCACACGTGAGTTTCCTGGCAGCACCAGAACTTGGGGATAGTAGATAGGCACTGTGCACTTTAGGAGAAGATTCCAGACACTATTAATTTTGTATCTCTTGTTTGTCTGTTTTTTAACCTTGACATTATCAATCCAGTGACTTGGCAAACCTTAACCATCAGTACAAGGTTGTATATAGGCCGCTTGTTTTTCTTTTGCTACTGGGAGATCTGGAATTTAGGTGGTAGCAGTTGCTTGGAAAGTATTCCCATGTGGCTCTCTCTAAAATGGTGTTTGCCACGAGGTCAGGCTCACTTGTAAACAAGGATGTATCAGCCATTGGAACCAATGTGCTCTTGAGCTTTTTAAGGTCAGGATGGAGCTGCCAGCCTGAAGTCAGTGACTGTCTCCTGACTGTCTCCTGCCAGTAGAGCAGGTGGCACTGCAAAGAGCTTTGCGTGCTTCTGAGCAAACACAGCCTCAGATAGCCCTGGCATTTGGGTGTAATCAGCATGCATTCATTTGCTACATTACTTGGACTAGTTTTTTCCTGCCCTCTCTCTAGTCTTAGCTGGGTTTATCTGCAAATACAGTGCCCCTTGCTGGCATCTGCTGGGAAGTGTTCTGGGCTGCTTGTCAGAGTGATTTGCTGAAGGCTGCTCACAGCAGCATCAGCTTTAGATGGGGATATGAGGTGGCTGCAACTCTAAGCCTGTGCTTTGGAAAGGACGTCTAGAATCCTACCTATCTGATTTATCCTGTGATTCCCATATCCATGTATTCATGTTATACCTCCCATTCCTTTTTTTAGGGCTGGCAAGGATGAGACTTGTCCTTAGGGCAGCTCAGGAGTCAGGAGAATTCCTCTAAAGGCAGCACTGAGCTGGGTGTTTGCGAGGCTCAGCCAACCTCTGACTGACTTGCTCTTGCCTTCCTCTGCCCACAGGTGCTGCGGGATATGTGCAAGCAGGGCTATCGGGATGCACTGCACTTCCTGAAGAAGAATGGTAAGGCACTGGGTATTTGTAGGCTCCCTCTTCTGTGCCAAGCTTGGTGGCTTGGCTCTGAGGATAGCCAATGGTGCTGTGAAAGGGCAGAACTGAGCTGTTCCTCAGATATTGGAATATGGACTTTCCATTAATGAGACTCTTTTAGCACTTCAGGAAGCAGAGGTGGAGTGTCCACCTTTCCAATACAATGCAGAAGGACTCTAACCACTCCAGTAACAGAGCAGTGGCTTTGACACAACTGAGTGTTGAAGCTATTTAGCATGTGCTCAGTGCTACACCAGGACAGTTGTTGGGCACCAGTGCCATTTGGACCCCGTTCAGCTACCCTGCTCTGTTATATGTGCAGCTAGGGTGTGTCTGATGTGACACAGCAATGACCTCAGCAACCCGGCAGTTTGACACTACAGTTTCATTCTACCTGCAACCGCTGGACTTTCTTGCCTCCAACTGTTGTAGCAGGTTGAGTGTGTGTTGGATGCCACCTAGTGTCATTGTATGGCAGATCAAATGCGTTATTTGTGATGGGATAAGAGCAGTCAGGCAGCTGTGTGTGGATTAAGCTGCAGGAGGGCAATTTTACCTGCAAGACTGGTGACTGGCAGATTATAGCAACAGACCACTGTCAGCCAGCACCCTGCAGTACTTAAAGGGGAAAAGTTAGAATTTCTGGTGGGGAAAGACGATGATTTTGGGGTTGGAACTGGATGATCTTTAAGGTTCCTTCCAACCCAAACCATTCTATGATTTTAAAGCAGCAAGGTTCTAACTCACTGTGGTAAGCGTTACGATAGATGTGAGCTAAAGGGGCTGGGTATGATGTCTGTCTGTCTGAGCGGGGTTAGGTGAAGTGAGGGCTAACACTAAAGGCAAGGCAGGGCAGCTAGTTTGTATCATCCTCACTGTATGACTTATCTTCTCAGGTCTCCTTCATCCTCCAAGTCCTGCCCGTCCTCTCCTTGCCATAGAAGCTCCCCCAGGAGAGAAAAAAGAGGAGGAAACAGAAGCTGAGGACCAACTAGAGGACAATACTGCACTTGCTGTTGTTGAAGAGCACATCTTTGAGCACTTGCCTCCCAGACTGAACCAAGGTGTGATCCACGGGGAGAGAGCCCAGGCAATCTTCCTGTGCTGCCCAGTCCATGTCAGAGGCTTACTGGGATGTGGGTATTGCTTGTGGTTGGGCTTGGCCGTACCTGGGGATTGAACTGGCACCCGCTGATGGTTAGATGGAGTTGGGGACTCTTAGATAAAGTTGTGGATTACCCTGTGGAGGCTGAACTGGGAGAGAGTGACTCATTTGACAGCGTTCTGCATGCTAAGGAGAGGAGGGGATCTTGATGCTCACTCCTTTGGGAATCTGACAAAGCTAAAAGCTGCTGGTCTCAGCTGTGCTCAGAGAATTACTACCCTGAGCCAGACTTCCTTAAGAAATGGAAGGTGGAGAGGTGAGATGTCAGGCTGGGTAACTTCTGGGGTATGGCAAGGAAAGGGATAGTCCCATTGAGGACATTCAGCCATGTTCTCTTTTGTCTTCAGCTCTTCTGGAGGCTTGTGCTGAAAGAAGAAGTTTCTTGACTGGTATCACCAACATGCTGCCTATACGTGTGGCCACGGCAATGATGGTCCCCTACATGCTGCCTCTGGAGTCTGCAGTTTCCTTCACTGTCAGGTCAGCCTTCAACTGGTTCCCTCAGTGGTTTTCTTCCCAGTCCAACCAAGTGTTTGAGGTAGCTGGTGGAGCATGAATGGACAGAGAGTAGAATCTTCTCTAAGAGGAAAAAGTTCCTGCCACTTACCAGACATGCAATAAACAAATAAATAAAAATCCCTACCTTTGTGTCATTTAGCTACAGCCAATAATTCTAGCTTGAAGGAAGATGGCTGTGTGCTGGAACTTGTCCTAGAAAATGATGATAAACTTTGGAGCCTGGTGGGAGACTTCTGAACTGAGAGTGCAGGGATGAAAGTAGGAACCACACAAGAGGTGGTTCCCCCTTGAGCAGGGGTAGAGTAGTTCCAGCCATTTCCAGCTCTGCACTGGCATGGCTGGGAAGACAGGTCTCTTAGATGTGTTCTTAGTACAACGTACCCTGTGAAAAGTTTCTGGAAGGAGATAGTTTGTAATAGAAAGGCTTGGGGGAAAACACTTCAGATCTGAAAATGGATGAAAAACATGGCAAGTGCAGACACAAAATGTAAAGAATAAGTTCCTGGGATGTTCTTATCCTTCACAGCCTCTTCCCCTTAATTCTGTGAATGGTAGTGTAAATGGCTCTTACTGCATTTCTTGCTAAAAATAATGGGTAACCATTGATAGGAGGCAAATCTGGCATTATTTCCATCCTATCCTTTGTGTGGCCCAACTAATGGTTGTCTCCTGTCTCTTCCCAGGTTGCTGGAATGGCTTCCAGATATCCCTGAGGATATTAGATGGATGAGGGAGCAGATGACCGAAATCTGCAACTATCTTGTGAAGAAAGCCAAGAAGAAACTGGGCAACCATCTTTCAGCCAGGTATGGCTGCTGTCCTCCACAGCACTGTTCTGGAGGAGCCCTCCATTTCCCCTTCCACCTTTGGCTTCTGCAGACTTTACTCCATTAGCACAGAGGAAGTAAGGCACAAACTGACCAGCAGGATTTACTGCCCATCCTAAAATGCAAATCTGGTCCATGGTGTCTTGGCTTCATTAACTGTTGGCCTAGATTCAGCACATGATCTCCTTCCTTCTTCCCATCACAGGGCAGACCCTGGAATGAAGCTGTTACTACAGCAATAGGGCAGAAGATGTAGGTCTAATTAAAACAATATTCTAGCTTATTCCGTGCTTCCTGTAGAAGACAGAGGTGCTTGTCTGTGTGGCATTTGGTGGCCTAAGGTCCCTTAAAGTTCCTTCCCAAAGGGTACTTGCCTTCAAATGACCTTTTCTGCCTTGAGATCTAGGCCTGGTTTAGGGTGGGGGAAGCACTAGGGTGTCCAGGAAACACCAGAGGGTTTCCCAACGAGTCGGAGTGCTTTGGGTCTGTGTGTGTGCGCCTGTGCTTCTGAACTGACCTCCCTGCAGCAGGCCATGGCTTGAGGCTGAGGCAAGCCGGTGTTGCTTGGATGAGGATAGGAAACTGTATATTCCAGCAGCAGGCAGAGGGTCCCAGCTCTGATTCAGATCCTAGTACAAGGGGGTGATTCCTTCCCACAAGAGCTCGTGGTCTGAATAATCAAGAGATGTGAGGAGGGGAAACGGGCACACGCAGACTTACGACTCAGATCATGCCATCGGTGGTAGAACAAAGCAGCGTTATGGTTCTGGAGCTCTGGTCTGGTAACCTGCTCAAGTCTTCCCACGTACTGATTCTTTGTATGTGTTTGTCTTTCAGGCTTTATTATCACCTCGAGCTTGGAGGGCCCCAGAGCCTGCCAATTTCTTCTGTATCGACTTGTAGTGAAGCACTGCCTATGTGGATGAAAAGCAACCGTTCCCTGTCTGATGTCATGATGAAGTGGGATGAGTACCAGCGCCAGCTCATGCTGGGCTTACTCTGCATCAACGTGGACATGCAGGCTTCCCTCTTCCCTCGGGAAGGGTTTCAGATAAAGCTTCCAACTCTAGACTGTGCAAAAGAGTGCCTGCCACTCTTCCGAGCCTGCTGCCGTGAGAGGATGAGGGTGGGTGGGTAGGGGAGCGGAGGTAGGGTGGGACCAGTCTCATCCCTCAGCAGCAGGGCTGCCCTGTGTTCATCAATATGCTGCAAAGGGGATTTCCCCGGGATGGAGACTGGTGGAATTGATTTGTAGCCATTTTTTGCCTGCTGGGCCAGGCAAGGGATCTCATGTGTTCAAAGGCACACATGGGCTGATCCTTGCTCTAGGCTTGCGTTGAGGCCTGACCATTGCCCATGGCCAGGCTCTCCCAAATAATGCACTTTGAATTGCTGTTGGCTTTGTACCGCCAAATAATCAGGACGTAGATGATGCTCTCAAGTTCATACAGGTTTTAGCTTCCTTTGTTTGTTAGAGCATGAGTCTTGTTTTTCCTTCAATCATCTGACATCCCTTAACTCTTTGTGCTACTGAAAGATGAAGTAGCCTCTTGCCACTCATGGCTTCCAAATCTCCTCTTGACTTCTCTTTGCTGAAGCTATGTTCTTACCTCTGTCCCTCAACTGCATCCCCACTGAAAGTCAGATCTGGCCCTGCTGCAGACTGCCCTGGGACTTCAGAAATGTAGAGAAGTTATGTATTTACCCCGATTCATGTTGTCATGGTCTCTCCCTTTTTGATTTTTGTCCTCATGGAACTTCTGCAGCTTGAACTCTGAGTGTTAAGTAAGTCATTGAGCTTATTTTGAAGAAGTAACTTAGATTTTTATTTTTTTTTTCCCAGGGAAACATGTTGAATTTGAGGCCCCATTCCTGTCACTGTGAATGGAAGTAGTTGTGGGTTTGCTTGGGAAAAGTTCAGCCTGACTGTTTAGGGATCAGCTTGGCAGCTGAAGAAATGTGAAGTGCTTGTAGGAAGGTGAGATTTGTGCAGGGTATGTTATTTTTGAGAGGATTGTGGTGGAGTGTCACAGCAAGTGCTGGAGAAGCGGCTGCCTCTTACCAGGCATCAGTTGGGCCTTGCCCATTAAGGGACCATACAACTGAAGGAAATTCCAAGTGGGTGATACAGAAGGGATCTGCTGCTAAGCTGGGGCTTGGCTCTAGCTTTTGCTCGAAGCATTTGGACACTGAGGCTTTGGAATGAGAAGGATGTAGGCTTGTAGCTGTACCAGCCTCACAGCTTGCATGCCTCACGTTGTGGCTCACAGGTACAGCTCTGCAGCTGGCAACAGCAGGAGGATGAGAAGTGGAAGTGGAGTTAGGAGTAGTGGTGCACTTTGCAGCCCTCTTGGAACTGGCTGTGTTTGTCTTGTTCCTAACAAGACCAGAGCTAGTGGGTCTGTAGCAGGGCAGGACTCTGCCTGGTAAGGTGCTGCCTTCTCGGTGGTGGTCTGGTTGTGACTTAGTGTTCAGAAGCATGAACTCTGTTCCTCACAGGGTGAGACATGGCTTCCTGTGGGGATTGCACCTACTTAAGCTGAAGTCCTCACACTATAACCCAAGACCTGTTATCTTTTTCTGCAGCGTGCCTAGCTGCATAAGGCATCTTCTACCTCTCCTAGCACAAAGAGTATGCGACCAGCCAAAGCAAACAGCTCTCCTTGCTGGGCAGCAGGACGGGGTGTTGGAAGCTGATTACGTAGCCTATAGGTGGAATAGTGATTTATAATAGACTCTCTTTGCACCTTTGATTTAGAAAGGGAAAATAACCCCAGAAATTCTACTAATAGCTGGAGAAAGTAGTGAATCTGCTCGATCACATCTGCAGGAGCAGTGTGGGTGAGGTGGTGGGTGCTGTGTCCTACCAGCAGCACAATTCTGCACTGGGCGTGGGTTTGAGTGTTGGTGGTAGAAACTGTGATAAGGATCAGGACTTTTCTGCAGTGACCATTGCAAGGTGTGAGGCAATAGACTGGGCAGCTGTGGTGCTAATTGACTGTCTGGAAGATGCCAGTGCAAATACGAACTTGTGACTTAAAGTATCACCCCACTGCCCTTCCTGGATGTAACCTGCCTATGTAACACAAGGGCCTGCACAGCTTGTGAAGCAGGCCTGCTCTTACGCAGTCAGATTTAGTCTTAAGGTTCACATAGTTAATGCAGTTAGGGAACAGGAAAGTCACTGTGGGAAGAGGGGAAAAAAAAAACAAAACTGGATTCCAAAACCAGAATCAGAATATTGGATTATAAAACAAGTCCAATCTTGTGATTGTCTAAAGCCTGTGGAAAAAGCTTACTGCTGGGTGGATACAACTCCAATCAAAGTGAACCAGCAACAAGCTGCTGTCAGTGAGTGGGAGCAGAATGAATTTGATGAAAATTGGAATTGAGAAAAGGTGTTTATTTTGTGGTTTGCTGTGGGATTTCTTTTCTTCCACTGCTTTGGGCTACCTTCTTTGGGGGAATGGCACATGCACAGTTGCTTAGTTTGCCAAATGCATTATCTCTTGTCCCTAATGCACACGGAGCAATTGGAAAAAACATACAGATATTTACTGGCAAGAAATGAGGGCATTTCATCCAGAAGCAACACATCTGTGAGGGGCAAAGCTGGATGAGGAAAATCTTGCGCTTTAGAAGCTGCTGCCCTTCTGACTCTGCCTTGTTTGTGTTAATATACGGGTGGAGAAAATGATGCAACTGTTTTTTTTAATCCCTTCTTCCTGGACTGGTAAAACCACTGAGTGATTATGTAAACCACTAAACTATGAAACAAAATTATCTTGGCAACAGAGTGCACTGAGAAATTGCAGCTTGGCACCCTTATCCCCTGAATCTCTTCTGTTCTCCTTTTGCATCAGAACCAACTGGGTTGGTGCCACTGTCTTCCAGTGCTCTGATCCAGAAGGCTTGCTGGTTCTGGTCCATATATTTCAACAGACTAACTGCTGTGCCTGGTGAAAGGCCTGAGTTTCATTCTGTGTTTCACCTCATCTGTCTTTTATTTTATTATATTAAACTCTCAAAGAGAAGCTTTTGTACACTTCAAACTGTAACCGCAAACCAAAGCTTGGCTTTAAATATAAAGGCCTAAGTCTGCAGGGAGGAAACTCCTGTTTTCCCTGTGCTCATTTGCAGGGTGTGAATGTATCCTGGGAAAGCACCATTCCGTATTAATGCTTTCTTTGCCTGTGTTTATTCTCCAAGGGATGCAACGGCTCTTGTTTGATAGCCTGTTGGCTTTATAGATTTAAGCTCTGATAAAGGAACTGCAGATCTGTCAAAAATACCCCAAACTACCCTTCTCTTCCTTAAGAGAAGTTTCATGCATTTGCTTAAAATTCTCACTGCTCATTCATCACAGATGGCAAAGGATGAAGAAAGTAGGGAAGATCATCTAGCCCAGTGATGCAGAAAAAGGGCTGCAACTGCTTTTGGAGAATAGCTTTTTGTTTTTGAAGCATAGCTTTTTGTTATGCAGTGCTGCCTTGTCTAGATCAGACTCCACTTTGAAATCCCTGGAAGCCTCTTGATAGGCTCCAAGTTGGACCTGGAAGGTGTTTATTGTCATAGTGCTAACTGGAATTCTTTAAGTCTTCATAAACGTCATGGCATGTGTTATCTTCTGAGCAGTAGCTGCTGATGAACCTACACTTCGGAAGTTCATCACAACAAGGTGATCATCTGTAGCAGTCACCCCCTTGTTCAGCAAAACGTGTGGCTGGGCAGCCCAGCAGGTCGTTGCCAGGGCCTGTCTGCTCTCCAGTATATGGTGGTTGAGAGGTCAGGTTCCTGGACCAAAAGTTCCTCTTGCAGTCCATGTCCAATTGTCCTTACCGCATTCACTTGAACTCTGCAAGAGTCCCAACCCTTTCTGTTTCCACTGTTTCATGTAAAAAGGGTCTGTGCATTCAGGAATCCACTTTTATTTTTTTTCTCCCCTTCCTGTGACACAGATAATACTTGCTGTTTTTAACAAGACTAAGGTGAACCTCTTGTGCATCTAACCAGCCCCTAACCTGTACAACACTGTAGAGTTGTTTTATGTTGCGCACAACAGTCTGTATCTATGGCATGTTCTGTAAGCCACCCTGCGTGTGTGCTGTGTTGGGTTTGGTTTGCTGCCATCCTGTTAACACTGTCACAAGCTGTTTTTCAAGGGGTAGGAGAAAATACTTCACTTCTGACCACTGTCTGTAGGATCTAGGAATTGTTTTCTCATGACTTCTTGGAGGGTTGTGTATCTGCAACACTCAGACCAGAGAATAGAAGAGGATCTGCTGTCTGCCAGCACTGGGGTGTTCCTAGTACTCACTGTATATTCCCCAGTGGTTTTGTCCATTTTAAAAAATGAATCTAGTAATTCACTCTTCCTGAGAGAAGAGCTCTCACTTTTGCCAAAGCTGTTGTGGGAGAAATAGCTGAAAAACTGTGTGTTTCCCTTAGGGGTCTGTTTCTGCTAAACACATGGTAGATGTGGGTGGCAGGGCTGAGCGTTGCCAAAGTCAAAGGGCCTTGCCAGCAGGTTTGTTTTGGGTTTGGTTTTTTGTTTGTTTTATTATTTTTTTCAAGTTTTATTTCCTTCTTCCCTTTAAATCACTGAGAGAATGGACCACCTCACCTGGCTGCCACGTCAGCCAGTTTGTTTGTGCCAAACACACCCTGTGCCTTTATGGTGGGCTCTGGCCTGCCTGTCCCCTGTGTCCCTGCGGTGTCTGCCTTTCTGAATTGCATTCAGAAATAATTCATTGCAGTACTTGTTCCCCTCTCCTCTCCCTCCTTCCCCTTGCCCACCGCTGGGACATTGCTCTGTTTCCAGTCTGCAGGCAGCTCCCCTAGGACAGGCTCTAACCTCATCCATATCCCTGTGTGGATCCACATCAGCCTTCCTGCACAGGGATGGGGAGAAACCTCTAGTTCCAAACAGAAGACTAAAAATGTAACTTTGAAATAAAAACCTTTTATTCTTCTGGGGGTTTTCCTCTTCATCTTGAAAACAGCATCTAAAGCAGCTCTTTGAGCTAAATGTATCCTGGGACTCTGCTGCTGGCACTCAGTTTGGGGAGACCCTGAAGCACACAAGGCACGAGGAGCTCCTGTGGAAATCACTGCTGTGGGAGCAGCAGCTAGACCAGACCAGCAATAGCATACGCAATGTATTTACATGGCAATGTCACTAAGTAGTGTTCACAGTCACTTTAAAAGTTCAGTATTAAATTGTTGATGCTTTTTTTTTTTTCTCCTGTTTCTTTTTTCTAATGTTGTGCTGAAGAAAATGTAACTATTTATTTTGGCAGAAATATAACTTCTAATAAAAACTTTCTCAATATATTTACCTTGTCTGTGGTAAGTTGCTTGCATTACCATTTAAAGATTTATTAAATATATTTTGAATGCACTGTATGATGCGATGTGGATTTGGTTTGCTGGGTCTTATCCAGTCCCTCCTGTTTAAAATCTTTGCAGGGTAAACATGCATCAGTATGCGATGAATGGGGCATTGACCTGGAGGTGAAAAATGGTGCATTTTGGCCCAGTTTTGACTTTCTCAAGC